CCATGGAACCCAAATTGATGAATATTTTTGTGTTGGAACCCTATGACGGTGATAACTAATATTAATCTATAATCATTTCATGTTTGATACCACTGATATACCTTATCGCTTTTCAAAAAGTCAATTTTCACCTGATTCTTGAGTTAAGGATGGCGATTTGTCATAACCATATGGCATTTACTAGAAAGATACACATATGATACACACTCTTTCATCATATCTATCACAATTTCTTTCTGTCCAGTTTTATAATAATATATATATATGTAGGCAAACTATCAGGAAGTTTTCCGATACAATCAAGTGAGATGTGAGTATGTGCTGATGAATGAGATACATCAGGATCATCCGATATGATGAATGTATTCCAATCCCCTCAGGGGCTCACGACTTGTGAGTACGGGAATGGCAATCCCGAGGTACCCTAGCCGGATACTCATTAATCTTCAACTTGTCTTTGATGGTATCCTCTTCACTCTTCAGTTTCCAATCTTTTTCTTCATCGGCCTCCCTTGGTCACTTCTCCTCTTCTCCTTCTCCCCTAAAGCCCAACCTCACTATAATGCGGGGAGGACAAGCCGCGGCTGCTCGGCAGATTGAGCATTTTGGGAACATCTTTGCTGTCATCACTCAGATGGGACAGTTTTGTGGACATCTGAGTGCGAGGATGGGGCAATTTGTGAACATCTGCTTATGTGGCCGCGGATTGATAACGAGGCTCTGGCAATCCCCTCAGGGGCTCACAACTTGTGAGTACGGGAATGGTGAACCCGAGGTACCCTAGCCAAATATTCACCATACTTCAAATTGTCTTGGGTGATCTCTTCTCTTTTCCGTTTTCAATCTTTCTATCGACCTTTCTTGGCCAACTTCTCTCTTCCTCTTCTCCTCCAAGCCCAACCTCACCATCAAGTGGTGTGGGGAAGGCAGGCCGCGGCCGCTTGACAGATGAAGCATTTTGGGACCATATTTGCTATATGTTTTGCCAGATGGGACAATTTGTGGACATCTGTGGCAGGGATGGGGCGATTTGCTGATGTCTGTCTAGGTTGTCGAGGAGTGGTCAACGAGGCTCTGGCAACCTAATCCAAGCTGTGGGAACCCGTGGCGATGTATGGATGGCACCGAGGAATGGTGTTGCTAACGGGGCCTCTGGGAAATAGGGCGACATTCCAGAGTAAACAGCCTTAGCCCTGTGCAGGGGGCACCACAGGGCTGGACCAACCCCTTCCTCCGTCACTCGTAGGAGAAGGAAAGCTTTTGGCCTTCTTCGTAGACGAGAACAGGAATCGGAATTGCAATATTCAGGGACCTGAACGAGAAGGGTCTTTCATATTGAAGTAGCCCTCGATAGGCACCAACGTATGTGGTAAAATTGATAACGGCATGTAGGTGAGATACAATGGGCCACTAGGCCTAAGTGTCGTCGGAGCCTACAACGGGGTGGAGTGTTTAGAGGGTATACCATGGAGGGGACTCCCACACTATCATTTGGGGGATTGGACCCATATGATGTCTATAAAAGATTTCAACCACCTCGGCGAAAAAAAAAGTATTCCAATGAGAAATCTTTTGAGTTTAATGAAAGACAATGTCGAATTTTATCACTAATCGGAGCAAAATTTTCTAATCATATAATAGTTAGCAAATTAGACCTTTCACTTTTCTATCGATACTTCCACGGTAAATGTTCTTCGGAAATCGCTGCTATCATCCCTCCACTAGCAATACCAGTCAGACGAATCAGACAAGCCCAGTCAGCATATCCTTTCGTTGCCAACCTCGAAAGATGTCGAACAGCACTTGATCAAAACTCCTTCATCCATAGAACGGCTAGGCACTGGAATTCATTGCCTAAGGAAGTATTCCCAACAACATATATAATCTTCAGAAGTTCAAAAAAAAAATTCCAATACCTACCTCCTATCCCTATCCTCCCTAGGAACGCACGATGTTCTTTGAACATTATAGGGATTTTCTTTCGTGCGCTCCACGCGATAAAAAAAAAGTTATATGTATAGAACCTGATTCCTGTGTGAATCTTTGAAAAAATTCCTTTCAAATTCGAGAAGATCACAGAACAAACATATTATGTAAGTTCCCAGTTTCCAAAAGTCCATTTCCAAATATCGACACCTTGAACATCGTGCTTTACCTAGAATTCTTCAGGATATTTACCTTGGTATTTCTCACCTGAATAAAACTTCAATTTGGAGAATATAGAAAGAGGAATCGGAATCATATAGATTCAACTTTTTGAGGGTGCTTCCCAATTGAAAGATTGGAAATGATTTGAAGATATATTCCTCGATATATTCTGTATGTTTTCCGCAGTGTAAATACCATGGAATAATCTCCACAATGACATTCTCTGACTCGATCCATTAATTCTGATTCCGCTTTGAAAGAACATCGACCAATTGATAAACAAATCGAGATCAACTTAAACAATGTGTAATTCTATTCACTCACATCAGTACTTCAGAGAGTCGAAAAATATTTCCGCTGAAAGAGGAATCCAACCATTTGAAAGCTTCACCGCTCCGCCCGATCTGATTGACTGATCGGATTAATTATCTCCCTAATTAAAAACAACGTCTACTAGATCGATTTATAATTCCTGCGACGTACAACCGAGCCACTGCTTCCTTTTAAGAGCACAAGTCGCTGCTACTAAAGTGTAAATAGAGTTTTTCTGGACGAATGTAAAAGGCAATCCTCAGAGTTGGCGAACCGGCAATAGATGTAATTGACAATTGACTCTACTAATTAATTAATTGCATTCACAAGGCGCTCTCGATGCGATGCGAGCTGTTTCCCATTATTGCGTAAACGGCGAGGCTGCTTATAAGGCCCGATACGGCTGTTGTTGTTTGATTTATTCTCGTGATAAATTTTTAAGCAGCACGTGCTACTTTTCTGGAATGGTAACTACAATGCCGACCACCTATGATTCTGGTCATATCAATAGAATCATCTTTTTTTATTGTATCCTACACCAATGTCCGTTTATTGAATTTTGTCACTTTACCTGATGATGCGGTTATATTTTCAAGGACGCATAGAAGCTTACCTTATTTCTTCATACGAAAAAATTTCTGATTCAGTTGCAACATGTTTTGTCGTGGATATAAAGGGTTTGAACAAATCATGGAAACAGTTGAATAGCTCTCTAACCGTTTGTTAGATTTTTTTGAATTTATGTAGAGAATGATTTCAAAACGTGACAGATATGTAATTTGCATCACCAATATTGCCACTTTTTCGGGTATCCCAGGTTTATTATTAACATAATTTGAATAAAACACCCTGTATTTAATTGAATTCCCAGATCCTCCATGAAGAGCTCAATTCATCGATTCATCACCCTTGGGGTCCCGGCGGAAGAATGATTACAGAGATATTGGGTGGGAAAAATCAAGTTTTTCAATTTCATTTTTTATTGGTAGCGTCAATAATGAAGTAATAACGAAACTGACAAATCATGTAAATGTCAAACTTTTGATGCTCATCAATTGAGCATCTTCGATTTTCTGATACAACGTCTCGTCTGAGCCACCATCATCAACTTCATTCTGATTCAAACGATGTGCACACTAATGTGATCACTAATGTGGTTTTGATGAGTTTCGATCTCATTTTAGCCATCATATGAAGTAAGTTTTGGGATACAGAAATGACCCAAGAATGAAGAGTCGTATCAGTGACTTTTGAATGTCACTTCATTGGTCCTTCACTCGAGCAACTTCAGTCCCGTTCAACCAAATCTGTATCTGTCGTATCTTATCTTGCCATTTTTTTCCCACTTCCACACAAATAATCTTCTCAAAATATCCACTTTTTAAATATATAAATACTCATTTCAAATAATTTTATAGAATAGAAAATTATACCCAAAAACTGATTCATTAAAAAAAAACTCAATATAGTATTCCTATAACATGCAGGATTGATGTCATTCTCTGTATAATTTCAATGACATAATAAAATCTTCAGCATGACGATAGAACAGGACATGCACCTATATATGCTTATTTATCAAGCAATGAAGTAATAAAATGACTTCGCAGACGTTACACGACATTCCAATCACTCAAGAATCAGGACGAAACACATCACATTCTACAATGTTAGGTATATTGAATACATAGTAGTGAAATATCATTCCTGATTTTCTATTTTATTTTCATTAGGGCTTCGCGAGACCAAGACCATGACCAAGACTGATGATCATTCTTGGTCTTGATCATTCTTGGTCTTTGTAATGATAACTTTTCTTGGTGATGTTAACTGACATGTTTTAACCTCACAATAATCAGGAATGTCTTCGCTTACTTGACAATGCAATTTTGTTTAGACGACCTTGAGATTTTCTTTTCTTGGTCATTTCCCTGTACCTTGTGTATGGATCACTTCAGATAATTAATCTTCATAAGAAGTTGAAGATTGAGATTAAATAGCTCTTGAAGAATGGGTTGCTTTCTAGTGGAAAATACTCATAATTTGGTGAATTTCACCATTTTTATGTTATGAGAAGGTGATTCATTAAATTTTTTGAATTCTATGCAAGTTATTCGAGTTTTGTCTCGGAGTAAATGACCAAGCAAATATTTTTCTAGATGGATTGGGTTTCTTCGATTGAATATGGAGTTTTCGACTAGAAGAAATGAACTCTCCATCAAAAGATAATATTCGCAAACTATTCTTCTTTTGAAAATTTACCCAAACTGATATATAGTGATTACCAATTGATCAGACAAACATTGTGTTTCACAAAGAGTCGCAAATTCCGAGAAAAAAAAACAGGGTGCTCTATTTAAAAAAAATCTTTGCGGTTTGTTACGCTTCTATGTCTAAGTCCTCATTGCTGCATTGCATTTTAGCTCCTCGCTTTTTTTTAGATGGAAAAATAACGCTAATGGGCCTTTTCGAGGAATAACCCTGTACACATGCATATATTCCTAGCAGAGAAATAAATATATTCTTTTTTTTTTTTTCAGGTGTACGACAAGAACAAGATATTTACGTTAGACTCATTGATTCCGTCACGAAACAGGTGAGCAATAAAAATATAAATGGAATTAGGGTTAATCAATACGATGTAGTATCAGAATTTTTTCCTATCTCTGTTTTCTATTTGGATAATAATTGGAAAACCAAAATCGAAACATTCTGGAACAGTGCGCTATCCATTTCAAACAAAGAAAATGGATGAAACGACACAGAGAAACTAATGAAATTAAGGTTAGGGAGAGGACGAACAAATGCGGATAAATAGAATTAACACCCAATGTGTTTTTCCACCACTTGAAGAGCAAACTGCACATTTGGAATCAAGATAAATGGAAAACTGTTTATAACACAGAAGAGACTGTGAAAGGTTGTCCATATTTCGCAAAAGAGTGCAGGCTGTTCGGTAATTAGCATGATTGTAATACCTTGATAGTAGATTTCACGATAAAAATTGAAAAGGTTTGGTAAAAATATGAACATAAAAATGGAAACTACAGCCTCTCGGTCTACTGAAGATGTTTCCTAATATTTGAAATTTCTGAAACGGGTCGTGGATAAATTATTAAATTTCGTATGACTTCACCACTTTTTCTGAACTGAATTCAAGAATTTATAATTTCTTTTCGGAAGTATATTGATCATAGTTGGCTGAGTGTACCTACTTTCAGCAACTATTTTCACAATTTCACAACATAAACTGCATGAAAATTGTGAAATAATGCAATGAAAAGTGTACTCTTGTTTGACTGAGATGAAATGCTAAACTGTTGTTGTAGATTGAAATCTATTCCAATATGAAATAACATGCGTCAATTTCAGCATGATAAACATGTTAATGACGAAGAAACAATCCGATTTCATATTTCGATGACTGAATTTTTTCATGCGATAACATATTCTGATTTGTTCTGCTAATTCGATATCATGAATGAGACCGATTTTTTTTTCAATTTTTTTTCTTTTCAATGAAAATTATGAAAGAATAATAGACGTGCACTGATGTCTTTTATGTTTTTTTGTTCTGCTCCAATGGTTTGAATGAAAGTTTTTGCTTGCCATCTACCTAAATCCGTTCATTCAGTTCTCTCACTGAAGAAAACGTGAATAATTATTTTCAGTAATATCATGGATCAACGGAACAACATGAAATGATCTCATTACGGAACTTTCACAGTATTCAATGACCTATATCGGATGTTTGAATATAATATGAAACATTTATTGAATCGATAAAAGAATTAGATGAAGTGTAACTCACTTCATAATGAAACAATAACTATCTGATTTCAAAATCGATGAGAATTACAAAAAATCAGTTGTGAAATATGGATTTCATGAGGAAACTCTATATTATGCTTGGCGACTCTGCTGTCTACTGTCTACTGCGGACGCCATGTTTTTTTTATGATTTATTACTAGAGATGCAAATTTCTGATGTTTTTGTCTACAAACTAATCAAAGACTTGATCTCACATTAATCAAATTCAACATCTGCTCAAAAAATGTCCGTCATTATTTTTTTTCCTCAACGTGTTTCTTTATATACCAGGTGTCCCAGAATACCTGTTCCAATAAATTTTCTCAGCCATTTCGAAAGATGAAAACTTGAAAATTACATGATCTACTACAATTCGAATGATTTGATATTATCATTGGAGTCAAAATCAAGATGACAAAGATATCGTAGCCTACTACATTTGGTTCAATTTGAAATTTCAATTGTCGTTTTCTCCATCAAATTTAAAATACGAAGTGTGATACATCGTTGAAATGTTAATTTTGAGTAGAAATAAAAAATTGCAAAAAATATACAGGATGCTGTTTGAAATAAAAACTGAGTATAACTTCCAGCCAAACCGGAAGTGACTTTCAATTTTTGTTCTTCTTATAGTTGAAGCTTCCTGGAACGAATTGGAGATGAATTGGAGATTATGAAATTTTCGAATTTTTATTTTACGAAATGGCTGGGATAATTCATTGGAACAGGTATACTGGGACACCCGGTATATACAGGGTGAGTCATTAGTGTGGCAAAGTGAGATAACTGCTTTACAGTTTGAGATAGATAGACAAAAGTTCCAGAGATGATCTAGGACCATGAGCAGCACATTCCCAAATTATTTCGCTTTATACAGGGTGACTTAGAAATGCGTGGCGTATCAAAGTTATACTTTTTCTCATGGGACACCCTGTATTTCATTGCATTTTCGAATTCTCCTCTGTAAGCTGATTTCATCAATGCATCACACTTGGGGTCTAGCGAGAATGATTATACAGAGATATAGGGTGTTCAAAATCGAGATTCTTCAACTTAAGGACTTTGTTTACGTCGAAACTATTCATTATTGGTCAAAACGGCTTTCATGTCCCTATCCCAACTTTTGATTTACTATCTTCTGACATTTAATTGGAACAGTATGTATGGTGCATGTCAGTAGATAATAAATCGAAAGTTGAGATAGGGACATGAAAACCGTTTTGGCCAATAATTCGACACAAAAAATTCCTAAAGTTGAATAATCCTCAATTTTTCACACCCTATATCTCTGTAATCATTTCATCTAGACCCCCTGTGATACATCAATGGGATCAGCTCCTCAGGGAGAATCTAAAAATGCAATAAAATACATAAAAAATTCATACATTTTACCCATAACTTTTTTCGAGATGTTCAATTGTTTTTTTGTTAACAAATTCAAAATCTACAGGAAAAATTATAAAAGACCGTTCTTTGCAAAAAAAATTCGTTGATAAATAAAATAGTAAGGGGTGGTTCAAAATATATGTGATGACCCTGTACAATTTGTTCGAATATATAGAGACACAAATTTCGAATATTATATTCACATCAATCGAAAACTAGATTCCACATTAATCATATTTGACATCTCTTCCCAAATGTATGTCTCTCATCGCCTAACCATGGACGCCAAATTAATTTCCACCTCAATCTCAAGCCGTCTTCGCGTCAGATGATTGACTGAAATTGAATTTAAGAACTTGGACGCGTTGAACTTTCCCCTTTTCGCTCCATCAACTTGACTCTTGTATAAATTGTACAACCTGATTCGGTTAGCGGGCAATTTTTAACAACCACCAAATAAATCTCCTGATATTCATCTCGTATTCGCTGATGAATTTTGGATTGCTTCACATCATCAGGTGCTTCATCAAGGTGATGAATGGTTCGTGATTCCATTTGATGGATATTGATATGTTGGGATATGAGACTGGGCTAGGATTTACAATTCAAAAGGGAGAACGAGACCCCCAGCTCCCAGAAACTGTTCAGCTATATTCATCCGGAGATTGAATGACGTTAAGTTATTGAAGTGCATAAACTCTAAGTGATTTGCCCTAATGTTCAAAAAATAAACCACTGTATTTCTGGCTACAAACGAATACTGATGCAAGTGTCTTTTTCGTCAATGTAGATTGATTTTATATTTTAGCTAAAATAGGGCTTGATACCAACATAGCAGTTTTGTGCTTTTGGTCCTCATCACTGTATGGTATAGTCACCAGTCAGCAGTTCTAGGGCATTTTTTCATTCGGAAGTGGACGCAAAAGGTCCTTTAATCCCTTGGCTGACCTGCTAGCACTGAGGAGGGACACATATCTCTGTTGATGATGTCAGTTATATGACAATAATTTTTCACTTCTCTCGTTACTATTCCCTATCTTTATAAGTTGGATCACAAATAATACGTCGAGTATGGGTGTCAGTTTACTTGAGTTTAATAATTTTACCTCAATTCTTGTAATTAGTTTATTTAGAAACACTCACTATTGAAAATACCAACTATTTTTATATTTGTTATAAACTGAATGCTCCCGTACCTAAACGTTGAAGTTGACTCTACTCATAACCATTTCGCAATTTGATCTACTATACTTATATTGATACATGAATGTGTAACAACTCAGCAGAACGTTCTCGAACATATATCGGAATCGTAGACTGGAATACCTTGATTTGGTATGCATCTCTTCTGCCAGTTATGTACAGTCTGTAACTCACACAATAATTATACAGGGTGTCCGCTAAAAGGAGGTCAATCCATAAACCATATATTCCTTGAACAAAAAAAAAAGAGTTTCTAGATAGCATTTTTCATTTCAGCCCTTCATATTCAATATACAGGGTGTCAAAGTTGGAAATTAAAAACTGTTTTTTTTTTCTAATTACTCGCCTATTTAATAAGATATCAATCCCAAAATTGGTACATTACTTCAGCACAAAGATTTACATCGAGTGAGGAAAACGAAACATAAAATAACTGTCAAATATTCAAAATACTGGGAGTCACACACTTAACCCCCTTTTTTTTGTACGTGCGCTAATTACGTGCGCTAATGACTTCCCATCTATTTTTCTTCAAGTGTTCAATCATTTTTGAGTATTTTGTGTTTCTTGTAAAATTTCGATAAAATTATTTGTATTTAAGATAATTCGAAAAGTACTGGTTATTGTTTGATGCCTATGCGGCTTACGGTAATATCATAATGTTCACATACTCCTATTTATTTCGTAGAAATTGAAAAAGGGCGTATTTTTTTACGCACGAAAAGATGAATATGGAAATACCGAGTGTTCAGAGCGAATGTATTGAAATAATTTTTACGAAAAAAAATAAAAAAAAGTGAGGACACGTGACGAATAAATTTTTTTTGCCAATCGAACGGCGTGATTTTTTTTCACGGGGTCGAATAAAAAAAACGTTTTCTGGAATTTCGGGTTAATAATGATTTTAGGAGGATGGGGAGGGGGATCGATTGACGAGCCCACCCTTTTAAAGGAAAATTAAATTGAAAAAAAAAATTAAAATCGGTTTGAGCAGTTTTGGGTGGTGCGGAATTTTAAAAAAATATTTTCGAGCCTCTTCCTCACCGTATGGTAGTCAAGCGCGAACGAACGGGAAATAAAATCGAAAAAATAAAAAAAAAAAATATTTTCGGAATTTTTTGGTGAAATTATGACATTCATGATTTTAATAGCTACTTGATGAAAGAAATAGCAGATCAGGATTATCCACATATTTT